CGTGCGTGCGTGCGTGCGTGCGTGCGTGCGTGCGTGCGTGCGTGCGTGCGTGCGTGCGTGCGTGCGTGCGTGCGTGCGTGCGTGCGTGCGTGCGTGCGTGCGTGCGTGCGTGCGTGCGTGCGTGCGTGCGTGCGTGCGTGCGTGCGTGCGTGCGTGCGTGCGTGCGTGCGTGCGTGCGTGCGTGCGTGCGTGCGTGCGTGCGTGCGTGCGTGCGTGCGTGCGTGCGTGCGTGCGTGCGTGCGTGCGTGCGTGCGTGCGTGCGTGCGTGCGTGCGTGCGTGCGTGCGTGCGTGCGTGCGTGCGTGCGTGCGTGCGTGCGTGCGTGCGTGCGTGCGTGCGTGCGTGCGTGCGTGCGTGCGTGCGTGCGTGCGTGCGTGCGTGCGTGCGTGCGTGCGTGCGTGCGTGTGTGTGTGTGTGTGTGTGTTATATTTTATGGAATATCTGTTATTTACGTTTGGAGAAGAAAATTCTTCAATTAAAAGTTACTTACAATATTATCAATATTTTTTGTTCTATACAAATTTTTTTATAAAAATTGTTTAAATAAATGTTGTTCGTATTATAATTCTCTATAATTTTTATTCTATATACATAATTTCTCTAAAGTGTACCGTATTCGAGATATTTGAGAAAATGTGTAAATTTTGAATTTTGAAGAAAACTTAAGTTTTAAACTTAAGTTTTATTTCGGCCTGACGTAAAATGATTAGATTTTGGACAAAGTCGGAACATCTGGGGGGGACCGTTTTTATATTTTATGGAATATATCTGTTATTTATGTTTGGAGATGAAAATTGTTCAAATAAAAGTTATTTCTAATATTATTATCTATAATTTTTGCTTTATGTCAAATTTTCCTGAAATGGTCCATATTCGAGAAATTTGACAAAATGTGCAAAATTCTGATTTTTAAGAAAATTGTTAAACAAAAAGTTGTTTGCGATATCGATCTCTATATTTTTTGTTTTTAAATGATTTTTCTAAAATGGACCGTAATGAAAAAATTGGAGGAAGTGCTAAATTTAAATTTTTCAGTATTTTCGTTTTCAATGAATATCTATAGAAAAATGTTTCGGGTTAAATGTATGTGGAAAATGTATATATTTAGTTTATCCTCTAAACATTTATAGAGTTGTTACAATAGGTTGTACAAAATAACCGGAAAGAGCCTATAATAACTAGATAGGAAAGTCATGTGCTGGACACATCAGATTTTTTTGTATTAGGCATAGCCATGCTTTTACAGTATAAACATATGGCAACTATGATATCCCCGCTATCGCTATACACTCTGGTTTCGTCAGAGATATTTCGTCGAGAACTCTTACCATTCTATTAACTTATATACTAGTCTTATGCCTAAACGAAAAAATAAGTACTGTATATCGTCGGTCTAAAGCTCACTTATAGTATATACAAACACCCATTTTTTCAATCGCAAATTTAAACTTCAGTGAGGTGTCCGCGTTCTGTTAAGTAGAATTATGCTTCAAATTCGTGTTGAGATTGAACAATAAGGCTTACTTGTTATATTTGTTGATTTTAAGGGGTTTGTGAATACTGATTGAGCATTTTTTTAATAGTTTGAAAAAGGGACCGGAAATACAATATGTGTACCCCACATTTCGAAGAACAATCATCGTATCTCCTTATTCAAACCTGCTAAACTATATGCGATTTTATGAAAACGTACAGTAAAATAAGCTACCTACTAATATTGTTACAACTTGTGTAAGATAATAATTATCTAGATATTTAATATTATTTTTTATCAATAAAAATCATAATGCAAACGAATGTATTGATTTATTTTTAATATAATGTATAAATTTAAAACAAATTTTCTATGATTTGTTTTTATTAATTTAATAATAGGTACAGTTTTTGAACAGTAGTTGTTAACAAGTTAGGTAACCATGTGGGTACTTATAAGCTGCTCTTATGTAAACTAATAATACAATTAACAGTTTAAAACTAAAAAGGCAACAGATCAAATTGAACACAGTCGTCATACAAATTGTATGAATATCAAAACATATTACGAAATCTTCAATCACTATCATTATCAGATCCTGCAGGTAAGTATCGCTTGTTTATAGGTATGGTGAAAACGGGAGGTACAATAATTGCGAATTTTGGGAAGTAATTTCTGCCCAGCACAAATATTGTATGGTGCTTACATCATAAAGAAACAATTTTTGTGAATTTTGGTAGGTAATTGCTGACAGCCACAAATATTATATGGTGCTTACAACAAATGTGCACTAGAAAGTATAATTAAATGCCTTAATTCTCAGTTTTAAATTTGAATTTATTGTAGTTTCGTGGGTGTTGGAGCTACAATGTTTGTGCCCAATAAAGAAGGCTAAAATGCGATTTAATTGGTACCAAGATCGTCTTAACATTAAATTTGGAGTTACAATGTGTGTGCTTTAGATCGACGATATATAGATGTATATACTTACAGGGTGTTATTTAAAACTTTGGGTTTTTTTTTGGGTGGAGTATTTTTTATTTAGTGTGGTGTTTTTTTGGTGCCTAAATTTGGGGCTTCAAGTGATTTTTTTGTAGAACTGTGGGAAATAGCACAATTAAAAAAAAATAGAAGAAGGTATCAAAAATTGTGGTAATTTTAAAAGGGGCAAAATATGGAAATGGGATAAAAATTGAAGGTAAAATTGTTGAAAGAAAGCGGGAACACTTGAAAATGGTTTCAAAAATGGAATACATGAAAGGGGTAATTCTTTATAAAAATCTGATGTGTCCAACACATGACTTTCCTATCTAGTTATTACAGGCTTTTTTCGGTTATTTTGTACAACCTATTGTAGCACCTCTGCAAATATTTAGAGGTTAACTTAATATATACATTTTCTACATACATCTAACTCGAAACATTTTTCTATATACACTCATTGCCAACGCAAATGCTGAAAAATTTAAATTTTATACTTTTCCTCCAATTTTTCCATTACGGTCCATTTTAGAGAAATCATGTAAGAACAAAAATTATAGAGATCGATATCACAAATATCTTTTAGTTCAAGAATTTTTTTAAAAGTCAGATTTTTTAAAAAATCAGAATTTTTTACATTTTGAAAAATTTCTCGAATACGGAGCATTTTAGGAAAACTTTATATAGAACAAAAATTATAGAAAATAATATTAGAAGTAACTTTTATATGAACAATTTTCTTCTCCAAACAAAAATAACTAATATATAAAAAATGCGATTCTCATTTAAAAAAACAAAGTTCACCTCGATATGGCCATATTATGGTCAGCTATAAAAAAATTAATTTAGCCAAAATGTTTTCCCCAAAAAACTATACTTAAAACTTTTGTCTGAAACTGTTTTTTATAAAATGCATATTTTCGGCGGTATTTAACTGTAACACTTTAATTTGAACACCCGGTATAAAGTACCTCCCCAGATCCCAGACAACACACATAGTCCAATGGACGTCCACTATAAATCCATTTGAGGGCCAGAACGTCCATATCCGTATTCGGACATCCAGTGTACCTACAACCGTTTATGATAATTAATTTGACAGCCGCATATTAATGTCTAGAGGACGTCTGTTTTTGGACTTAATTTTAAGTTTAGTAGTATTTTGACGTCCAGTGGACGTCCATCTTAGGTCATTATTTATTTACCCCACCAGATAATACCCATCTATATATATATATATATATATATATATATATATATATATATATATATATATATATATATATATATATATATATATATATATTTTATTTATATAGAATTGGTTTTTAAAAATTAAAAAAATAAATCTATTTTATTTCATTCTATCAGTGGAAGTTTGAAATCTTATTCTATTATAACCGTATCTAGATGGCTCCTTGGTCGAGGTCGCCTAGCGCTTGAATGTCCAGAAAGACAATGGACGTGTCGTGAGTTCGATACCTGCTCTGATCAAGTGATTTTTAATAAAAAAAAATTAATAAATGGTGTATAGCGGGTTGCGAAAATAATAAATAAATTATGATTATTATAAAATAGTGTGGTGAGTTGCGGTTGTGTAAAAAGAGTAACGTGGTCTCAATGGAATATATAATCCAGGAATGGACGTTTTTTGAATGCCCAGTATTGAACGTCGAAATATAATCCAGAATTAGACGTCCTATGAACGGTCAAAAGTGTGCCATTTATATACTTGATTGGACGTCGGAGGTCCAGAAAAAACTCATCTTTGGACGTCCAATGGACCTATTTGTGATGTCTGGGATATTCCGACTCTGCCTAAAATCTAATCAGTTCACCTCAGGCCGGAATAAAGCTTAAGTTTAAAATTTAATGTGTTTTTCTTTATCCGTTTTTGAGTTTTCTTTTAAATTAGAAATTTGTACTTTTTCTCAAATATCTCGAATACGGTTTATTTTAGAGAAATTATGTGTGGAACAAAAATTATAGAGAATTGTATTACAAACAACTTTTATGGGAACACGCACCCACGCACGCCCCCCCTCGCACCCACGCACGCACCCACCCACGCACGCACACAGACATCATCGCGAAAATAGTCAAAACGGATTCAGGGGACCCCAAAACGATAAAATCCGTCAAAAACTCGAGGTCGAAAAAATCATGATTCCTATACTTTCCTTTTAAACATTGGAGGAAATTTTGAAAAAGGGGTAATAATCTGGAGTAATTTTGGATATAAAATGTATTTTTTGAAAACGGGGTAACATTTGAGTGAAAAGTATATTGGAGAGGCGATTTCCCTAATTTTGGAATTAAATTAACAAGGTAAAGGAAACAACTAAATTGAATATTAGTTTTATTGACACCAAAATAGATACATTTGCATTTCTAAAACTAGAAATTAAAATAAGCAAAAAGAGTGGAGCACAGTTGTAAAAATTGTTATCATTTCAATACATACCTATATATTGACAAGTGTTTCAAATAAACAAAAATTGATAAATCAATTTTAGGTTATCATAAGACATTTATAATATGAAACAATCTATTAATATTAATTACATAACATGTCTTTAACAAAGCTTATATTAACATTGTAATACATTTAAATTTATACAAACTCACTGTCAAACACTCTTTAATTACATTAACTACAATGAAACGCCTTAAAATAATTTGACAGGTAACCTGATATTATAGGTTCTTTCGTTCGCTGTTAGTGCAGCGTCCACAAGTGTAAATTACACCACCTTATTTACCTAGTTTACTTCTTCCTTGTTTCTTATACACAAGTCGAGTGTAATTCACTTCTGCTAAATCGCCGACATGAAGGTGTAGTGGATTTTACACCAGGCCAAATGAAATATATAGTGTCCGTTGGTGTAGTTCATTCCTACACCAGTGGGACAAACAAAAGAACCTATTAGGTTCTTTCGGTCGCTGTTGGTGCAGCGTCCACTAATGTAAATTACACCAGCTACACCACCTTATTTACCTAGTTTACTTCCTCCTTATTCCTGATACACATGTCGAGTGTAATTCACTCACGCTAAATAGCTGGTGGGAAAAATATCCACCAGTGGACACCACATCGCTGACAAGAAGGTGTAGTGGATTTTACACCGGGCCAAACGAAAGGTATGGTGTGCGTTGGTGTAGTTCACTCCTACACCAGTGGGACGAACAAAAGAACCTTATTTGTTGGTTCTATTGTCACATGTCAAATGTCAAAATCCAACAACAGATTATTCAGAAAAATTTTATAATCATTATGATTTATGTACTTTTATATAATATTGAATAAACATCCTATTTGTTATAAGTTTTTGGTCTCTACTCAATTTGCTAGTTCCTCAGATTCTAGAACATCTTCGTTGTCAGACATACCGCTGTCTGACGCGCACCGTCAACTGCTTGAATCCTGGCCCTGCTTGATCTTGGGCTTGTAAGCGATCACGTAACGTTGAACAACCGAATGTGGAGGACTATAACCCTCAGTGTAACTGGGATCCTCGAACAGTAATTCGTATTCATCGTTGTGGGTGGAAGGAGGTTTATTTACTAATGCTTTGTAGAAGCAAGTCGTTTGTGGAAACAGAGCCATGACTGTAAAATAAACAAAAATCAGTATTAAATTAAACTTGGTAAAGTGAACACCTATTTCCAAAGCAGTGATCATTTAGTACGGTTGTTTAAGTAAAATATAAAAATGAGTATATCAAGCGATGGAGACTATACTGAGATGGAAGTTGAAGAAGATGGAATGTGGAAAAAAGTTAGACGCAAAAGGAAAACAAATTACACAATATTCCAAAAAGACTTAATCAACTAACACAAGAAGAAATTGATGATATTATTGGCACAAGCTCCCAGACTACAAATACAAAAAATCCCACCTACAAAAACTTATCAGATACAAACAGAAATCCTCAACCACACAAAAACAGTTATACCAACAAAAACAATTTCAACAAAAACTACTCACCAGTAATGAACACAATAGTCAACAAAAGTATGATAATATTTTTTATTTAGAAGCAGAAAGTTCATGCACTAGAATGAATATTACTACAGGGTGGAGCCAAATTTTTCCTAATGCTGATGATATTATAATAAAAACTAAAAAAGGAAACACCAACAAAGATGAAATAATGGGAGTCCTTAACAGATATGTTGAAAATGGCAAGATTCTAAGCTATAAAGAAAGCAACCCTAACACAAAACCTCCTACTTTTTCACCAATCCCCTCTTACTCTGTTATAATCGCCAGGGTAGAGCAGCAAATAGACGAAAATTCAATTAGCAGACACCTCACAAATCTTAATCTAGAACATAGATACTGCAAAAGAATAATAGCCAGAAGCAATGCAAAACCCACAACAATGATAAGGATAATTACAGGATCACAGATCACCTCTGAAACTCTCCTATCTCATGGCCTACATTATCATTATCAACACTATCCAGTCTATCCTAGCAAAGCTCCAGAGCCTGTACCACAACCATGTAGCAAATACCAAGAATATACCCATACAACAGAGAATTGTAAAAATACACAAATTTGTCTAAAGTTCCTTGGAACTCACCCAATAAATAAATGCACTTCAACACTCCCACCCAAATGTCCACTCCCACCCAAATGTCGAAGTTGCGCAGCAGAAGATCACCAGGCGTGGTCTTACAAATGCCCTAAACGACCAACAAAACCCATTGATGGTATTCCAAATGTCTCAATCAAATCTTTGAACAAGAAGTCAAGAGAAATTAATCCAGAACTTAAGAAAAACCGCATACATGAACCAATTACTGTACACGACCATGTCATTAACACATACATTAATAAGCTGAATGACCCTATAGAACACAACAGAGATGAACTATTACTAAAACTCAGAAAAAGATTTGTAAAAAACTACAACACTGACACAACTGCAGGGTTTTCAGGAAACAGAGTCTACATCTTGATGTTTGATATTGAATCCCCAGCACATGCTTCGGCCACAGACCTAATAAACTAAGGAAATAACGCACAGCACATTTATGTCAGTCATTAATTTCGTATATTCAAACATCAATAGCTACTCTAAACGAAAACATCTTGTCAACAATTACATCGAGGCTAATAATAATATACATTGTACAATGTTTGTTGAAGCTAAAATAATAGAAGATAGTAATACATCATATAGAAATTAGGACGTACTGAAAATAAAAGGCAATCTAATCACAAATCGCCCGGGAGGAGGATGTCTAGTGCAGTGTAACCCCAATTTAAAGATAGGCAGAGCAAACTCTCCAAGAATTAACAATCCCCTGAATGATTGCTTGCACTTTATTAATTGCATTAATATACAAACGATGACTACAATATATAAAATGATCTGTAGACCTATTATAGAATACGGACATCCCATATTCCTCAACATAAAGAAGCCAGCTAAGAAAAACCTGCAAGTTGCCGAGACCACTGCTCTGAGATGTATCACCAAATTGCGACACCCAAACAACCCAATCCACAATCCTCCAAATAGACTGCTATATGAAACCACCAATATCACACCCATACTACAACGTTTAAACGAACTGACAGGCAAATTCAAGAAGAACCAGAAAAACAAAGATAAAATGGAAACTTTATGTTTACAAATAAATCGGTGGCCTAGACAACAGCACCCTCAAAACACTATTTGGGAACAACTAAATGAATAAAATACCTTTTTTTTAACATAAAATCACATTTCTAAAATACTTTTTTTTTGTAAGTTTAATTTGTTAGAGTTTAATTTGTTTTATGTAATAAAATATTACACTGCCTAAAACAATGAATGTAAACCACAGGCTGAAGGACCTCAGTCAATGGCCTTTGGTAACTTTTAAGTTTCAATAAAGCACTTTTATTATTATTAAACACAAATATATCAGCAAACAATAATGAGTTAGAATGTTTAAAATTTATGGTCAAATACAAAATCAAAATAAATATAGAATGGAACTCTTAAATAACCCAAGATGGAAGATAAATAACCCATTTTAACTAAAAAATACTAAGATAAAATACTACAAAAAAAGTTTGACTGAAGACAGAATTTAAGTGGACCAGATGATTGCTATCAATAATAACACCTAAATCATAAATTTCATTAACCTTTTCTGGAAAATAATTATTCAATGTGTAATAATCTCAATTTCATTCTAAAAAATATTAAACCACATACAGCAGGGGCAAAAATTGGAAAGGCTTTTGGTAGGTAGAGAGGGGGTGAAGGTCAAACAACTTCGGACGGCTTCCAGAATTTTCAGTAATGATTACCTTCCAGTATCGTTTCATAGAATAAGTAATTTTATAAATAATTAAAAAAACATGTATTATAATATCCAAATTTTAACAGCTATTCACAATTTATTAAACTATTTACTCCACATAGTTATTAATATCTATAAAATAATTTTGTACACCAATGTATCATGTCCACTTCGGTCAGATCCACCACAAACCTGTCATATTATGTGTATTAAGTGGGAGAACTGGCAAAAGCCTTTCCAACTTCTGTCCCTGCTTTACTATTTACTGTTCCACAATCTATTCAGATCCTCCTCTAGTTTTAAACAATAAGTTCTGAGACTTATCATATACAAATTAAGATCAAATATTACTAATGGCTTAAGAATTAATATGAAATAAAAAAAATGATATTCATCCTTCTAGGAACGTAAGCTAGGTTTAGATATTTGTGAGACAGGTTAAAGTTATTAGAAAGAAAAGGTAAAAACATAGTAAAAGGAAAACCACTGATATTTTTTATTAATTTGAATGGTGTTAGGCATTTTCTATTTATATTTAAATATACATTTTTTTCTCTGTAAATACCTAAAGTCCCTTGTGGGAATAAAGCCTGAGGATCAGTTTCGGGATTGGCTCTCATCAGTGGCAATGGTATAACTCGACGTCTACTCAAAGTATGTCTGCCCTTTTGGTTTTGCTCCTTTAAAATATCATCTATCTCATACTTGCTGGTGTTATGGTTGTAGGAAACCACTTCGGCAAGAATCCAGGTCTTTCCCTCTGCAGAATCTTCGACATGAGCAGCCACCATATCACCTACCTGACAATTTTAATTATTGGTTAAAAATGTAAAGATGTAATTTTAGAAAAATGGTACCTTTGCAATGTAATTTGGGTCAGCAGGAACAGCACCACAGAGAGGAGGCGGTTTTTCACCAATTTTTCCCACATAAAGAGGAAAAGTATGAGCTGAACTGTTTAACATTTTCATCCTTATACCCTTTCTCATAGATTCCTTATTTGAAGCAATACGAGACTAAAAAACAAGGTAAATTATTGAAGATAAACATTTTAATTTCTTGTTTAACTCTACCTGTATTCTTCTTTCATTCTTAATGTTTCTTATCTCGGTTATTTTTTGAAGAGCTTTGCGAATAAGTTCTTCCTCTTGCTCTGCTTGAGCAACGCAAGACTTGTATAAAGATTTTATCCTCTAAAAGAAAAAATACCAACCACAATAATTTGTTTGTAAATACAGCATTAATTTTTTACTCACCTGTGAGCTTTGGCCACCCTTTTCGTCTTGGTGGTAAGATTGCAGGGCTACAATCCCTTGCTCATTCACAAACCTTTTCTTATCAATATCATGTACTAATTGATGAAGAGCTTTTAAACGTTCTTGCACCTGCTGGGCAGCAGTTTCTGCTGTAAGTGGCTTAGATAACGAGGTAAGCGGCATTACTTATTGTTCAATGTTCAATACAAATTTTTGTTCCAAAAATGCCGATCTACGCTCAATGCACAGTACCAGGAGATAATGACCAAAATAAATAGTATCGAATTACAAAAGAATTTTGGTGGAATATTTACTTGTATCAGGTTAAAAAACATTTATTTCAAGATAAAGTTTCGCTAAAAAACTGTTTGATAATAACTAACATATAACTAATTTCTTTTCTTGAATTATTTGTTTTTGTTTTCCTTTTAAAATGTTGACTCTTGACAGTCTTGACGTGCGAGTTGTCTGTCACTCCGACCTGAGTCCGACTGTCAAACTCTTACATTGCGTTCGGTCTGCCACGTTATTTTAACTCCTTTAACACTTTTTACTCCAAACGACCCTTTTAGCGTTCGGTTTAGTCATTTGATAATGTATTGGAATAGATACGCCTTGTTTACATAAACAATTGTCGTATGATAATAAGGTCCACAATCGCATGCACAACAAACGGTGGTACCAGCAGAGGTTGCCACAGTGTCACTTTCGGTTAAACGTATAAGGATAATAATTATTAGTTCCTAATGTTTTAAGGTTCGAAATACTTAATATGGAGCTTAATATTTAACAGTTCATTTAGGAATCTGGATCATATTCATAAAATTTCTCATTTAATTTTCTTCTGCATTGAATCGGTGTTTAAATTAGATGTTTTTAGATTTTGTTCACTACGATCCATCGGTTTAACCATTAAATACTATATTTTAACTGGACATTTGGCAACCCTGTTTCTGTATGTTTTTAAAAGTGTCATTCGGTGTTTTATTTTAGTGAAATATTCTTGTTTCTTGTTTTATTTATTTATATGAAAGAAATTATTTACAAACGTAATTATACATTTCAAAATAGTAAAGAGATGCATAGTTTTCCGAACATTTTGGACCAAAAACACCCAAAACCTATTTTCACAGGTAGGTTTATGTCAAAATCAATCTCATGAAATGTAAATAATGTAGATATCCATGGGCGTAACAACTGTGCTAGGGTTTTTTTGATTTCTTGATATAAAAATACCTAATTGTAGAAACTGGCTATTTTATGGTATAGAGAAAGTAAAAGTTGAAAAGTCTTTTGGTAGGTAGAGAGGGAGTAAACGTCAAACCACGTCGGGCGGCTCCGAGAATTTCACAGTAATGTTTATCTGCCAGTGTCGTTTCATAGAATAAGTAATTTTAAATTGTTATCGGCGGAACCGGACAATCGCATGTACTTATGGATTATAAATAATTATTAAACATGTATTATAATATTCAAATTATAATTTTACAAAATTTCAACAGCTATTCACAATTTATTAAACTATTTACTCGAAATTGTTATTAAAATCTATAAAATAATTTTGTACGCCAATGTATCGCGTCCAGTTCGGTGAGATCCGGTGCCAACCTGTCAATTTATGTGTATAAAGTGGGAGAACTGGCAAAAGCATTTCCAACTTTTACTTCTGTTCTATATACGTTTACTCGTTTCCGAGAGACATTGTCTAATGTCATTGTGGCTGAACAACTTAAAAATAAATGAGCAAGATCTCAAAACTGAAAGATGCCAAAGTTTGTTCAGATCACTTTTCACATGAAGATTTATTTAGCTATAATAAAATCGAACATTTTATTTGTAATCCAATGTTTTGCTAATAGAGAAAGTAAACAAGTGTCTTTATATACATACTTTCGTATTGATATAGGTAAAAGGTAATTTATAAGTATTTATTGCAAACGTCTACTTACACCTAGTTAAACAATTCGTTTCTGAAACTAAGTGTTATTGAGGTCTAAAATACTGTGAAAAATAGCTTAGAACTGTTTCTCCCAGTTGTAGTTTAATAAACACAAAGTAAACTTTTTTGATTATACTAAACCCATTATTGAAAACTTATAATTTTTTTTAGTACGTACTTCGTTGAGAGAAGTAGTATAGAAAATGTATATGTGGGAACGTATGATGATTATATTCGCTCATTGCGAAGTTATGGTAGGGGAAGCAAAAGCGATACTAGCGCAAACTGCAGATAATTCAACCACTTTAGGGCGATATTTTGTAATTTTGGCGTATCAAATACACGTATACATTTTACGTTTTTTTGCAAACAAGAAGTAAGAACAATGTAATAAGCAACCATAGTTGGTGTGTACTAGAAGTAGAATCTCCCAAGTTATTTATTTATTTATTTATTTTTATCTTCTAAAAAGTAAGTTTTCACTTCTTTTACAAAATTAAATTATTTTTAAATTCTAAGATATTTTCTAATTTATTCTTTTTTTTTTTAATTTATTCGGGTTCTGTGTTTTGAATATTTTGGAATAAAATATATTGGTTCTGACTTTTATTTTATTTAATCAAAAACTGACAACCTTTTATAAAAAACATCTAGCCATCTGGTTATACAATATAGTCAACAAGTAAGTGTAAATAAAAAATTAGATAAAATCAGAGCTGCATACTCAACACTCTCCCTCAGTGATGATTTTTGTAAATTTCTTGAGAAAATATTTATAAAGTTCCTTGCCAATTGGCTTCGTTAGCATATCTGCTATATTTTCTTTAGTTGAGACATACTGGATATCTATTGTATTGTCCATGAACCTCTCTCTTACATAATGGTAATGAACATCTATATGCTTGCTTCGCTGGTGTAAAACTGGGTTGGATGCTATATGTATAGAGGCTTGATTATCACACAATATCATAGGCCTATGCTTACGTTTTAAATCTTTAAGCACATGGGCCATCCAGATTAGTTGTCGACTTGATAAAGACAGGGCCATATATTCAGATTCCGTTGTGGAAACAGCTACACTTTGTTGCCTTTTGGTGGTCCATGTAACAGCAGCATTTCCATAAAATCCTACATACCCACTCGTTGATCTTCTAGTGTCCAATGAATCTGCATATGAAGCATCACTATACATATAAAGTTTTGGATTTATTGTCTGTTCGTACTTCAAATTGATATCCACAGTTCCTTTTAGGTAGCGAAATATGTGTTGAATCATATTGGAATGTTCATATGTTGGATCTGAACTAAACTGAGAGAGGATGTTTACGGAATATGCGATATCCGGCCTTGTTCCCAAAGCCAAATATAAAAGACTGCCAATCTTAGATTGATAGACTTCTTTGTTAGTCCTAGGATCAGTTTCTTTGGCCTTCTGAGGTTTTGTTCCAATATCCATTGGTGTTGAAACAGGTTTACAATTTTTCATACCATATTTTTCTAAAATCCTTGTTATGTACTGTTTTTGGGATAGAAAAACACAGTCTTTTTCCCAAGATATTTGTAGGGAAAGTAGAAAATTAGGTATGCCTAGATGAGTTACACCAAAATATTGCTTCAAAGTTTTTTCCACGATTTCAACATGATTTTCAGTGGATCCTAGGATTAGAAGGTCGTCGACATAAATAGCAATTATTTGGGCACCATCCTCTGAAACGAACAAACAAGGATCTGCCTTAGATTGGCTTAAATTAATAGTTTTTAAAACAGTAACTAATTTTTGATTCCACTGCCTGGGAGATTGTTTTAAGCCATAAATACTCTTTTTTAAACAGCACACTCTCCCTGGCTGAGCAATTATGCCTTCTGGTATTTTCATAAAAATATTAAAATCTAGATCACCATTTAAAAAGGCGGTTTTAATGTCTAATTGTCTTGCAATCATTTGTCTATGAATACAATGAGCTAACAATATTCTTATTGTTTCATAACGAATTACCGGGGCATAAGTCTCATCGAAGTCAATACCAGGAATTTGAGTAAATCCTTGTGCAACTAGTCTGGATTTGTATTTTATAATTTCTCCTTTATCCGATCTTTTTTTCTTAAAAATCCACTTGCATCCAACTACTCTTTCATTAGGTGGTTGTTGGACTATTTCCCATACATGATTATCCTCCATAGACTTTAGTTCATCCTGTATAGATAAGATCCAATTATGAGATTCTGGTCCTGTAACTGCTTCCGTATACGAAACTGGATCATCATTAGCGTAGTGCAAGTATTCATCATAATAATCTGGAGACTTACTTGTCCTGCAGCTACGCCTTGGTTGGACTATTTCTGGGGATACTTCCGAAATTACTTTATTTTCGTCATCTTCGTCTCTAATTATATTTTCTTCAATATTTAAATCCGAATTTGGGTTTTGTTCATTATCATCGTTTATTTTTGCATCTTCTCTTTCTTCTATTTCGTTCCAAGTATTACTCCTTGGCAAACTCTCAATAAATACTACTTCTTCTTCTTCTTGTCTACGAAATTTATAACCCCTTGATATTATTACTTTCTTGCCGTCATAAAATCGATACCACCCATTTTTTTTAGCATAACCCACCATCACACCGTCGAACGATCTGGGACAAAATTTACTTCCAGCTGCTTGTGCTTCTTTAGGGATATGCAAATAGGCTTTTTCACCGAAGATTTTCAGATGAGATATAAATGGTTGTTCCTTAAAAAACATTTCAAAAGGTGTGAGTTTATGAAATGAGTGTGGTAGTCTGTTTTTTGTATAAGCGGAATATGCCACTGCTTCTGCCCAAAGACTCTGTGACAACTTAGAATCTATCAAACATGTTCTCGCCATTGTTGTTAAAGTTCTGTTTAAACGTTCGGCTAATCCGTTAGTTTCATGATTTCGTGGAATTGAATTTTCCACTGTGATTCCATTGCCCTTAAAAAACTCCTTTAGGGAATTTGACATGTATTCGCCACCATTATCAGATTTGAAGAAACTCACTTTTAATCCAGTAATTCTTTCTATTTTTAAAATATACTCTTTTATAACATTTTGTACTTCACTCTTGTGAGAAATGAAAAACACTTCGGTGTAGCGAGAAAATTCATCAATTAATGTTACGTAATATTGTTTTCCACCAAGAGATTTTGAAGAAAAAGGTCCTGCAACATCCGAATGAATTTTCTCCAAAATTCTTGCACATGAATTACCCTCAACTTTTGGGACAACTCGTGTCAGTTTGGATTTAATACAGGGTTCACATTCTATAATTGGTCGTTCGTTTGGAAGTACTTCAGGATCAGCAACCACTTTCTTTATAGCATCGAACATGTTAATAGGCAAATGTCCCAACCGTCTATGCCACTCTGTGATAGAAGCATTAGCAAATTCATGATATTCTTGAAAGACTTGTTGTTTGTTAGAGGAAATTACCCAACCTACTATTTTTGCATTTTTCCATAGAGTTATCTCATCCTCGTTGCCTTTCATACATATTCCTTTAGATT